AAAAGGTCAGCGGTGCACCTCTTTCGGAAGCCATGTGAAGCCATGTTGCTTAGTCGCGCAGTCTCTTCTTTTTCCTTTCATTTGTGCGTAATTACCATGTATATCGGCATACCTATTAAGTGTTTGTGCTAGGAACCATCAGATTGCTTGTAAGTAATCGCTTTTTCGATTTATTTCGACTGCCTTGCCTTCAATTTCAATTTCACTTNGTTAACTGCATGTCGCTTCGCAGCGTTTGACACCTCTTCTTTTAAAATTTGCCATGTGCTTACACTTTGTATCGGCTCATTTCTATTGCAAGATATGTTTTAGTCTCTAAAGTATTGGCTTTGGTTCTGCTGCTTGACTCAGTAGAACTGTTTGCAAGTACAGTACGTTGCTATTTATCACGATATCACGGATGTCATATCTGCGTCCGGTTTTTCTTCAGAGACTGCCATAGCTCTACTTCAAGAGAGCTATACATTTTTACAGAGAGGCCTCTTTCCTACATTAATTTCACCGAGCGTCGCACAGCACATAGCAAAACAATGGATACGTTTTGATCCAATTTAGTTGTAAACAGAAATCTGGCGGTAATGTTTGTCATAGTTACCCTGTTTGTAACCAACAAGGAATTTGTAAGCTTCTTTTATCAACGTATTGCTCTTCTTCTCAAAACAACCATATATTGTGGCTAGTAATGGTTACGGTAGAACGCAATTGAACATCTCTCCAGCAGTATATAACATTAATGGCGTTTGCTACCGCAGTATATCACTGCACTGTCCCCCAGGTTACTGAGCAAGCTGTGAATGACTGCTTCGTAAATATATCTTATTGGCCGGCTGGGAGGTCCATATAAAGAAAAACTGTGACCGAGGTCTTGAAAGTGCTACCCGAGGCCTCAGGCCGAGGGTAGCATTTTCAAGCCCGAGGTCACAGTTTTTCGCAATACGGACCGACCCTAAGCCGGACAATAACATGCTTATCTTTTATTTCCTCTGGTAAATTGGCTCACAATTGGTTTTGTTTACGCAACTTTTTCCTTGAATTGGCTTACGCGCCGTCTACAAACCATTCGTGAAAAAATCTAATGAGCGAACGAGCGAGTAACACAGATACTGGACAAAGAAAGATGTATTAACGAACAAATTTATTTCGAACTACTCTATGTAAGTTACATTTAGTTCACCAGTTTTAACTAAATTTCGCGCAAAGTTTAAAGTTGTGCCACAAAAACAATTTCTGTCAGTCGTTGTTAAAAGGTGCCAGATGGCTCAATGATATAATTAATAGCGAACCATAAAAAGGTTGCGAATGAAATTCACTCCACTTATGTCCAGGATTGAACGCAGTAACAAATTTAACAAATTTTACGATTTTTCGTGAAACTCTACAAGATCTACAAAAATTCACTGCGTCAACGATTTTTCGGCACATTGTTGCGAAATTTACAACTTTATGCTAATCCATCAGCAAGCAGCGGCTTGTGGATCTTACAAAATATTTACAAAATTTGCGATTTTTTTGCTAACTTCACGATTTTTCGTCAACTCATTGCGAAATTTGCGATTTTTTACACTTCTTTGTAATGCCGGCATTAGTGCCGGCACGCGGATTCTACAAAATTAGCGATTTCTCGCAATTAACATAACACAAATAGACCGCCAAAGATGACAAGCATGTTTCTGTTCTCTCAGGGACGATAAAGCGGGATGAAACTATGCCATTACCGCATCTATGTAACACAAAAAAAGATAACAAACTGTATGTTTCTCTCGCTTTTTTCACCGAGTATCGTAAAGTGGGTTATGGGAAACTGTGCACAATCATATGAATTAACATAACACCAGCAAAACAGAATATGACATAAGCGTTTTCTTGTTCACTGAAAATCTATTCTACGTTCTAAAAGCGTGCTACGTATTCAAAACCATCTGAAACGCACACATCGATGTTTAAGCGTACGTGTCTATGAGAACATAAAGCGGGAAGAGAATATTCCTTTCCACTGCACACACGGTTTATTAACCTTGTTCTAACACTCTCCTAAGCGAGTTTCGGGAAAGCCACGACAGCAAAATGATAACTGTAAACACTAAACGAGATAATAATGTGCAAATTTCGTCCTCAAAGCGTTTGTTTTATGCACACTATCATGAGTATCGAAGGATACCTTGCACAGGTAACCTTCTTATTACTATCCAAGCGAGTTTCGGGAAAGGTCACGAAAGCAAAATGTATGCGCTTAACGTAACGCCACATGAGATAACAAACCGCAATGTTTCGTTCTCAAAGCGCTTGTTCTACACAGATTAACATGACTATCAAAGCACTCATTCTACAAGTAAGCTTCTTATTCTAGAACGCTCTCAGCTATGTTTTAGCGTACGCCTCTCTTTGGAAAGATAAATCATGAGTATCGAGGGATACGTTGCACAGGTAACCTTCTTAATACTATCCAAGCGAGTTTCGAAAAAATCACCAAAGCAAAATGTATGAGCTTAACGTAACACCACAAGAGATAACAAACTACAATGTTTCGTTCTCAAAGCGCTTGTTCTACGCAGATTAACATGGCTATCAAAGCACTAATTCTAGAAGTGAACTTGTTATCCTAAAACGCTCTCAGCTATGTTATGCGTACGCCACCCTAATCGCAAAGAAAGAACCATATGTATTTTCTTTACAATGACAAAATCGTTATACCTTCTACCTTTCGCAAAAAACTAACTTGACAGGCTGCAAGCGACGGATTCCCCGTCCACACGTTATCGGATTCGTTGCGGATTTATTTTTTTCCACTCTGGAGAGCAAATTAAAAAGTGTCCGGATTCGCTGCCGAATTCGCCGGATGCGTGTGGACGGAAGCCATATCTGGAAAGAAAAAGTTGCGGATTCAAAAATATCCGGATACGTGTTGACGGTACCTAAAATCAGTATCGAGGCATACATTCCACAAGTAAGCTACTTATTTACCTAGAAGCGAAAAAAAAAAAACAACGAAAAAACAGGAATATCTGTATGCGCTCAAGTAAATACACAAAAATTAAATTATGGTTCCGTTTGAAAGGACATTTCGCGACTCTAACATAAAGGAATGCCTGGCTGATATGAAAAGGTCAGCGGTGCACCTCTTTCGGAAGCCATGTGAAGCCATGTTGCTTAGTCGCGCAGTCTCTTCTTTTTCCTTTCATTTGTGCGTAATTACCATGTATATCGGCATACCTATTAAGTGTTTGTGCTAGGAACCATCAGATTGCTTGTAAGTAATCGCTTTTTCGATTTATTTCGACTGCCTTGCCTTCAATTTCAATTTCACTTTGTGTTTACAGCCTCTAAATTTGTACTTGCAGAAACAACAACATACGTATCTGTATGCTGCATTCTTTATTGGCAACCTCCATTAAAGACTATGGAAACTTCACTTCAAAGAATTGTATATTAAGTGGCTACCCTGTTTCGCTTGGAAGTGTGAGTTTAATAGTAAATACTAAAGATCGTGTTAGATGTACTTTGCAAATTTGTAAACAGCTTCCGTGGAATAACCTTTTTTGCACGTTGTAGCACACCAGAACTGAAAAATCGCGAATTATTTCCACATAGAAAAGAGTTCTCCGAACGTCCGAACTCCTACTAAAGGACATTCCACTGTTGCAAACAATCGGTCTGTTTAACCTAATATCATAAATGTTAATAATCTGGGTTTCATTGACCTTGCTTATCCCACTAGAAATATAGCAAATAATTTGAATGGAAATTCTAGTTTGTTGTGAGTTAAGGGTGAAATGTTTTTCATTTTATTATTTTGGTTTAACTTACATTCACTATATAGGCCTCTCAAAATAATATGAAGTTGTATGCTGATGACCCCTACAAAGACAAGCAAAAAATGACATAAATTATAAACTGGGGCCTTCTTTAATCCCGTGAAAAAATTTGATACATTTCATTTAGTCGATGCTTGTGCGGCTTATCATAAACATCGCAGTTTGCGTAATTTTCATTGGGGAAGTTCATGTGACCCTTTGAAGAATTTTCGTAGCTTTCGTTGATGGGGCAGCGAAATCTCGTAAATATCGCAGTTTTCGTAAATTTCGTAAATTTCGTAGTTTTCGCAAATTTTGTTAAAGACTTTCCTGAAACCCTTTCAATGAGTTCTGAGGTTCCATCGATCAGCTGGCGAATTATCGTTAATTTTCCAGTTTTAAGAAATTTCGTAAAATTAATAAAATTTTCGTAAATTTCGTTGGGGACTTCCATGTAACCGTTTCAAAAAATTTCGTGCATTTTGTGGATGGACAGCCGAATTATCGTAAATTTCGCAGTTTTCGTAAATTTCGTAATTTTCGCAATTTTCGTAACTTTGGTGTGGCCTTCCTTGCAACCCGATGAATAAATATCGTAGATTTTGTCCATGGTCTTGCGAAATACAGTAAATTTCACAGTTTTCGTAACTGCGTTCAATCCTGGACATTACTCGAGATCATTTGCGGGCCTGTATAGCACTCAGCGGAAAGAGCTTGAGCACTGCACCAAGACAACGGATTTTTTTAGCCAATGAGCGGTTTTTTCGTCACCTGCATTCACCTGAATATATGAGATAAAGAAAGCCAAATACACTTTCGACAGTGAAACTGAAAGATCAACGTCGACATTTGAAGCAAACCCTCGCTCTCGCAAGTCACGGCTTCCCATTTTCTACCGGAGCCGCACTGTTTCACCAGTTTGCATTTCGAAGCGTTATTATACACTCCGCTACGAAAGCGATCTTGGTTTGCAAGAGAAATGCGCAGCAATTACACATACCCGGAAGTCCGCGGCCGTTTCGAGCGTTTTGAGCAAATGTGCTGAGAGAGTTTACGGAAACTTGAAACCAATTTGGGAAATGCTAATATCTAAGGTTGGCAGCGCTGGATAGCAGAGATTTTTTGATCGATTCTTCCCAGCCTATTTTGACCAAGTAAAGACTATTCAAGACTACTTGAGATTACTATTTTGCTGTCATTTCAGACCTTATTACTGGATGATGTTGAAGTGGATCTTTTGGATGTTGGTGATTGTGACTTTACCATTGACCTTAAGGTTCTTTGTTTCCGCTCTTTCTTGGCTGGTACCAAATGCCTTACTCGCTTTAAATGGTATATTCCATGTTGCAAAACTCAAAATAACAGCAGCTGGAAGACTGGCTATCGCTTTTTTACGTGTAGCTGTGCATCTTATAGTAACAGTACCTTGGAGACGTATCGCCAACCGTTACCACTCATCATTAAGTGACGGTGGGTAACAAATACTAAATGTCCAATAAATCACTCTTACATTCAACTGTCTGACTGACAGACTGATTAACCAACCAACCTACCGTCCGATATGATGACTGACTGTGTGATAGACTGACTGACTGACTGGCGTATGGACGGCGTATGGACTAAGCCAAAGTTATTCTCATTAAATTTTATTTTATTTTACTTCCTGTCCTGCATGTCTTGTCATTTAATTTTATTTCAAAGGCCTATAAATTTAAATATTATTAACAATGTTTTATAATTTTTTTATTATCGCTGTTATTCTTGTTATGATATCGTTATTCATTTCATTTTATTATTTCATTTCATTTCACTTCACTTCACATCTTTTCTCTCCTTTCCATTCTTTTCCTTTCCTTTCCTTTCTCTTTTTCTTTTCTTTTCTTTTAGTTCTTTTCCTTTCCTCTGTTTCCCTTCCTTTCCTTTTCTTTTGTTTCCTTTCCTTTTGTTTTCTTTCCTTTCCTTTTTTCCCCTTTCATTACTTTCCTTTCCTTTATTTTCCTTTCCTTTCCTTTTCCTGTCCTTTCCTTCTCTTTCCTTTCCTTTTCCTTTTCTTTTTCCCTGTTCTTTTATTTTCTTCCCATTCCTTTCCTTCCCTTCCCTTTTCTTTTTTCCTTTTCTTTTCTTTCCTTTCCTCTCTTTTTGCCTTTCCCTTTCTTTCCTTTCCTTTTCTTTTTTCACTTCCTTTTCTTTCTTTTTATTTTATTTTTTTCCTTTTCTTGTGTTTCCTTTCCTTTCCTTTCCATTCCTTTCCCTTTTCTTTCCCTTTCTTTTCTTTTCTTTTTCTTTCTTTCCTTTCCTTTCTTCTCTTTTCCCTCTCCACTCCTTTCCTTTCCTTTCTTGTTTTCGTTCCTATTCTTTCCTTTTCTTTTTTCTATCCTTTCCTTTCCTATTTTTGCTTTTTTCCTTTCCTTTTCTTTCTTTTCCCCACTTCCTTTTCCTTCCTTTCATTTTATTTCTCTCCCTTTTCTTTCCTTTATTTGCTTTGCTTTCATTTGCTCTCCTTATCTTTCCTTTCTTTTCATTTCCTTTCCTTTCCCATCCTTTCCTTTTCTTTCCTATATTTTTCTTTTCTGTCCTTTTCTTTCCTTTGCTTTTCTTTCCTTTCCTTTTCCTTCCATTCCTTTTCTTTCCTTTCCCTTTCTTTCCTTTCCTTCCTTTTTCTTTCCTTTCTTTTCTTTTCTTTTCTTTGGTTTCCTTTCCTTTTTTTCCTATTCTTTCCTTTCCTTTCTTTTCCTTTTCTTTCTTTTTGTTTCCTTGTCTTTCCTTTCCTTTCGTTTTTTCCTTTTCATTCCTTTTCTTTTGTTTTTCCTCATTCCTTTCTTTTCTCTCCTTTCTTTCCTTTCCTTTTCTTCTTCTTCCGTTTCTTTTGTTTTCTTTTTTCCGTATTTTTTCCCTTTCTTTCCTTTCCGTATAGATGGCGGGTGGAAGGTGCAAACATTTGTTTTCATTTTATTTCATTTTATTTCATTTTATTTCATTTTATTTCATTTTATTTCAGTCCTCCCAGACTGGATGACGTTGAAGTGGATCTTTATTCACGTCAAATGTGCTATCGACAGAGGAACAAAAACGATCGTTGTGGCTATGGCGGCTGTCTTAAAGTGGATGGCGATTTTGACTCCACGCTTGACCTCGACCATCTTTGTGGTGTTAAAAACAATCGTTCTTTGCGCTCTTTCTTGGCTGGTACCAAATACCTTACCAGCTTTAAATGGTATATTTCATGTTGCAAAACTCATATTAACAGCAGCTGGAAGACTGGCTATCGCTTTTCTATATGCAATTGTGCCTCTCATAGTGACAGTACTTTGGAGACGTAGCGCCAACCGTGGCCACTCATCATCAAGTGACGGTTGGTAACAAATATTAAATGTCCAATAAATCACTCTTACAGTCAACTGTCTAACTGACAGACTGATTAACCAACCAATCTACCGTCCGATATGATGACTGACTGAGTGACTGACCGACTGACTGACTGGCGTCTGGACGGCGTATGGACTAGGCCAAAATTATTCTCATTTAATTTAATTTAATTTTATTTCTTGTCCTGTCTTGTCATTTAATTTCATTTCAAAGGCCTATACATTTAAATGTTATCAATAATGCTTTATCATTTTTATTATCGCTGTTATTCTTGTTATGATATCATTGTTATTCATTTTATTTCATTATTTTATTTAACTTCACTTCACATCTTTCCTCTCCTTTTCATTCCTTTCCTTTTCTTTCCTGTCCTTTCTTCTTTTCCTTTCTTTTCTTCTTTTCTTTTCTCTTTCTTTTCCTTTCATTTGCTTTCTCTTTCTTTGTTTCCTTTCTTTTCGTTTTCTTTCCTTTCCCTTCCTTTTCTTTCCTTTTCATTCCTTTCCTTCTTTTTTTTCCCTCTCCTCTTTTTTTCCTTCCTTTTTCCTTTCCTTTCCTTTAAATTCCTTTTCTTTCCTTGCCTTTCCTTCCCTCTTCTTTTCTTTCCTTTCCTTTCCTTTTCTTTTCTTTTTCTTTTTGTTTTCTTTCATTTCTTTTCCTTTTCTTTCCTTTCTTTTTCTTTATTTTCTTATTCTTTCCTTTCCCTTTCTTTTCTTTCCTTTCCTTTTCTTGCTTATCCTTTCCTTTTCTTGCCTTTCCTTTTTCCTTTACCTTTCCTTTCCCATTCCTTTCCTTTGATTTCCTTTCCTTTTCTTTCCTTTTCTTTTCTTTCGTTTCTTTTCTTTTTCCTTTCCTTTCCTTTACTCTCTTTTCCTTTTCTTTCCTTTTTTTTTACTTTTCTTTCGTTTCCTTATCTTTCTTTTCCTTTTCCTTCCTTTCTTCTACTTTCCTTTCCTTTTCTAACCTTTCCTTTCCTTTCCTTTCGTTTTTTTCCTTTCTTTTCTTTTGTCCTTTCTCTTTCTTTTTCTCGTTTTCTTTTCATTCATCTTCTTTTCTTTTCTTTTATTTCCTTTCTTTCCTTTTGTTTCCTTTCCTTTCATTTTCTTTCTTTTCGTTTTCTTTAGTGTTTTTGTCCTTTTCTTTTATCTCCTTTCGTTTCTTTTGTTGTCGTTCCTTTTCTTTTCCTTTCCTTTGCCTTCTTTTCCTTCCCTCATTTTTCTTTGCCTTTCCTTTCCTTTTCCTCTCTTTCCTTTCTTTTCCTGTCCTTTTCTCGCTTCTTTTCCATTTCTTTCCTCCCCTTTCCTTTCCTTGTTTTTAAACTCGTGGCTACGCGAAGCGTAGAAACGTGTTTGTTGCGGGGACTCCGATATGCAAATGTGT